GGGGAAGATCCCACATGCCTTGGGGCAACTAAGACCATGCGCTGAAACTGCCCACACTTTAGGGCTGGCAAGCGGCAACCTCTGAGCCCACATGTCTAGAGCCTGTGGACCGCAACAAGAGAAGCCAAAACAATGCGAAGCCCGAGCACCACAACAAAGAGAAAGCCCTGCTCACTGCCACTAGAGAAAGCACTGCTCACTGCCACTAGAGAGAAAGCCCTGCTCACTCCAACTAGAGAAAGCCCTGACACAGCAACAAAGAACCAGGGCAGTCATAAACAAACAAATAAACTATCAGCCATAGATTCTCATAACCAAGTACCTAGAGAAGCGAAGGCTCTAAGTGATCAAGTATTTGCTGTCATAGAGCATCTTANCAACTAGAGAAAGCCCTGACACAGCAACAAAGAACCAGGGCAGTCATAAACAAACAAATAAACTATCAGCCATAGATTCTCATAACCAAGTACCTAGAGAAGCGAAGGCTCTAAGTGATCAAGTATTTGCTGTCATAGAGCATCTTAGTGAAATGAAGGAGGATGATGCAGCTGATTGGCTGCTTCTAAGGGTGTTGGCAAAGACAAGGAAAGAAAAATGATGTGCTCAGGGCTCTAAATTCCCAGCATTTTCATTTTTTATTTTTTAAAAATTTATCTCTTAGGATCCAAATGTTGAGTGCTAATGATATCAGTATGATTCCTTTACCACATATAATTTCTTTACCTACTGTATCCAGATAATAATATCTGGATAATAGCAATACTAAAATTAAGTCTGTGGAATACATCTTTCCCCTCCAAGTATATATCTCATTAAGGATGAACAGCCAAAATACTATTAAATTTACTTGAAATAATGATTCTCAGGATGGTTATGCCTCCAACTTGATATACAATGAGGTTCAGTTGCTCCTGTATCTTTTCCTTTTTAGAATTTACTTATTGATTACTCTACTTATTGATTACTCTTTGATACAATTTAGCATTTTAAATTAGGGCTTCCTAGGTGGGACAGTGGTAAAGAATCCTTCTGCCAGTGCAAGAGATATAGGAGACACAGGTTTGATCCCTGGGTCGGGAAGATCCCCTGGAGAAGGAAATGGCAAACCACCCCAGTATTCTTGCTTGGAAAATTCCTTGGGCAGAGGAGCCTAGCAGAGTACAGTCCATAGGGTCAAAAAGAGTTGGACACAACTGAGCATGCATGCACAGCACATTTTAAATTATGTAAAACATTTAATAGTTCCAAAGTTAGAATTATATAACAAGGTATATTCAGAAAGCTAGCTTTTGCCTTTTTCTCTCTCCTTAAGGAAAACATGAAGAGGAACTAAAAAGCCTCTTGATGAAAGTGAAAGAGGAGAGTGAAAAAGTTGGCTTAAAGCTCAACATTCAGAAAACTAAGATCATGGCATCNACGAACTGAACTGAACTGAAGGAAAACATTTCTGTTAAGTTTTGGTTTATCCTTCATTCATTTCTCTTTGAAAATATAAGCAAACACATATACACATTTTTTTTGGTCTCTTGCACTCTAAACACTGTTTGGGACCTTGTTTTTTTTGTTGTTGTTGTTTGGTTGTTGTTGTTCTTTTAACCTAATGTGTCCCGGAGGTTGTTTTATAGCATTATATAGAAATTACCAGGGACTTTTCCTGGCAGTCCAGTGTTTAAGACTCTGTGCTTCCAATGCAGGAGGCTCTGGCTTGATCCCTGGTCAGGGAACTACTGTCCCACATGCCAGACAGCATGGGCAAAAAAAAGAAAAGAAAAAAAAAATGTTCCTCATTCCTTTTTAGACTGAGTTAGAATTTAACATCATCATTTTCTTAGCACTGTGTCAATTGCTTTCTGTTTATGACAAGTTTAACAGTCCGGTTCCTGGCAGGAAACAGATGGCACTTTCAAAATGGGTAATCTGAGAATTTAATCAAGGGGCTATTTATACAGATGTGGGCCCATGTAGGTAAGCCACAGAGATGGTGCGGGTCCCCAGGGCTAGCAATAGCATGAGACCCGAGGAGGCGACGGGAGAGATGGTTACAAGAACAAGAAGGGAGCCTTGGACGGGAGCTGGGCCCCTGGTTTGAGGGACAGAGTCAGTTTGCTGTGATCCCCCAGGGAAGGAGCTGAGGGAAACTAACACACCAGTCTCACTCTTCTTCCTGCTCTTCCCAGTCTCCTACTGTGCTCCCCACTTGCCCCTCCCAAGTGGAAACAGGCCCTGGGTGCCCACTAAGGTGTGCAGATGTGGAAGGCTGGGGAGTGGGTCCCGGGGCAAGCAGGACACAGCTGGCACAGCCAGGGATACTTTTCCATTTAAGTTTTACAAGCTCTCACTTAAATGAAATGCATTTGGGACTTCCCTGGTGGTCCAGTGACTGAGACTCCCAAAGCAGGGGGCCTGGGTTCCATCCTTGGTCAGGGAACTAGATCCCACGTGCCATAACTAAGAGTTCGCATGCTGAAACTAAAGATCCTGCATGCAGGAACTAAGACCTGACACAGTCAAATAAGTAAAAATATATATTAAAAAATTAGATGGATCTAAGCTTTAAAAAATAAGCTTAAATAAAGCAAATGAGGATAGGCTTCAGGAGGATACCGCAAGGGTGGTGAAGGTGGTGCCTTATGCCTGATTCTGGAAAACCCTGGTCAGGATGACCCACTGTCCCCCTCTCCCTACCCCCCACCCCCCATCCCCGTATTTTAAGAGATAACCTCCTCTCCATGCCTGGCTGTCTCTCTCTGCACCTTTGAGAGTTGCTGAGAAACATTAGGGGAAATGATGCTTTTCATCAGAAAGGAGAGGCCCTGGGAGGTCACGGGTGAAGGGCTCTGAGAGCTCCTGAAGTGGATCTTACTGCCCCCCAACCCCCCCCTCCCCCGNAGGTACCTAAGCTAGTTCGCTGGAATCAGAGAAGCTTTCCAGAGGAAGTCATGTCTAGGCTGAGCACTAAAGGCGGGTAGGAATGAGCAGTTCAAGTCTATAGAGAACTTGGTGGGGAGACGAGGATACACAAAGGCAGCCTTAGGTTCAAGAGATCCTGGTGGCCCAGAGCAGTTACAGTGGGTCAGTTTATTAGAATGTGTGTTGTGTTGGGTGGGGAGGAACCGTATAGGAAGTGTTGAGAGATGAGGCTGGAGGGTAGGCAGGGGCCAGGCTATGCAGGGACTCAACCTGCCTTAAGGAGCTTGAAGGGTATTCTGTGGGGAATGAAGTGTTTAGGTAGGGGGGTGATATCATCAGATTCGTGTTCAAGAGTCTCTTCATGGTACTCTAGAGCTGGCTCTCAACTGTGCTTCCACATTTCCACCCTCACTGTTATTCCCTGGACCCCTGCAACAGCATGTTCTCCTTAATCCCCAGCACACTGCATCTCAGCTCTACACTTGAATCTAACACAACATTCAATTTAAAAATGCACAGGGACTTCGCTGGTGGTCCAGTGGTATCCAGTGCAGGGGGCGTGGGTTTGATCCCTGGTTGGGAAACGAAGATTCCCACACGCCTCGTGATGCAGCCAAAAAATAAATAAATAAAATTTAAAAAAAAATCAAACCAAGTTTCAGTGAGCCTTAAGATTCATTAGTGTAAGTTTCTTAAAAATTGTATCATTATTCCTTAAACCTAATCATTGCACCTACTAAGACTTACTTTCTAAAAATTGTGATTAAAAAAAAACATAAAATTCATATGGCAAGTTCTGGAAAAAGGAAAAACCATCTCTGTTGAAGAAATGTAGGCATCGTGTGAAACACAAGTGCTGTACCAGTGACCAAGACATGCAAGATCCCTGCTCATGCAACGCTTAGATTCTGGGGGAGAGGGAGATAGAGAACAAGCCCATGAATAAGCACAGGTAAATGTATCCTGTGATAAGAAAGAAAATCCCCCCAGGGTGGATGACAGAGTGACTGGAGATCAGGGGTGTGTTGTTGTTGTTCAGTAGCACAATTGTGCCCGACTTTTTCGACCCCATGGACTGCAGCACACCAGGCTTCCCTGACGTTCACTATTTCCTGGAGTTTGCTCAGACTTATGTCCATTGAGTCAGTGATACCACCCAACCATGAGATTAGGTGGTTAGTGAAGGCTTCTCTTAGGAATTCACTGAGCTGAGATCAGATGGCTGGAGGTAGTGTGTCCAGGGTTGTTATGGCAGCTCTTTGGTCATCAGACCCCAGGCTCTTTCTTTCTTCTCCATCCCCTTAGCTAATGGCTTCCATTCTTGAGGTAATTCTGTGGTCCAATATAGCTGCTGGTGCTCTAGCCATTATGCCTTCATTCCAGGCAGCAGGAAGAAGGAAGGAAGGAAAGGCAAAAAGATGGACTTCTGCACGCCAAATCTAAGTATGACTTCAAATAATAACTCTGTCCTTTGGAGTCCTTTTTCAACCCACCAAGAATGAGTGTCTACCTCATGATAGAACTTCACCACCTTGGGAAGGAGAAGGGATGAAGAGGGCCAGCTAAGTCTACTCTATGTGCCAATAGGGACCCAAGGAGAGAGCCCATGTCAAGAGCCTGCTGAGGACATTATACATAAGACATTTGGATTGAGCCACAAGAAGAGCTGCCTCTAGGATGTACATTGCCTTGGCCAAAGTTGCAGTGGGTGGGCAGGGTAGAGCCCCTATCTGTATAATTTGATATTTTAAAAGAGAGATGGACTACCCAGCTGAGTCAAACTCCTGAAAGGATCCTTCTCAGAGGTGCCATACATCTCATTAGCTAGCAAATGGCACTGGTGGAGAGAATTCTGCAAGGGTTTCCTGCAGGGAAGGGGCATAAAGTGATATGCATTTTAAAAGAGCCATTCTAGTTGCTCTGTGGAAAATGGAGAGTGGTGAGGCAAGAATGAAAAAAGCATCAAAGAGGGAGTCATAGACTTGGCTCCTCATCCTGATGATATACAAATTAACCATGTGATCTTGAACAAGTCTCTCCTCCTGCCTGGGCCTGAGTTCTGTCCTTTCATAAACTGACAGGGCCTCAGTCTGCTTCTCCTTATGAGGCTGATGTACCAGAGGTGGTTGCCGTGGGCCTGGCAGCTCTCAGGGCACATTCCATGCCCTGGAGAAGCATCTCCGGGAGGCTCCCCCATCCTCTATCTACTGGACCCCGCAACATCTCTGCAAGGTACCTCCCTTCAGGCCTGGGTGCCTGGGTTCTGGGAGGAGGGAGGAGGCCTGGCCTCAGGTGCTGTTTGTCCCTCGACCTGCCCTGGATCTGTTTGTTCCTGCTCATCCCCTCCTCCATGTCTGCCTCTCCTCTGCTTCTTCCGGCTCCCTGCCCGCCTCCCACACAGACTTCTGACAGCTCCACACCCAGCCCACAGGGCTCCAGGCTCAGTGAGGGCAGGAGCTTGTGCGAACCATCCTTGGTCCTGCCTCCACGGCCTTCCATCAAGTCTCACCTTCCCAACTTGTGCTGCTCTTAATGCCATCCAGCTCTCTTTGGTGGTTTCTTTTTCTCTCACACTGTCTTTTTGCCTTGCCATCTGTGTCTGTTTCAAAAGCACAAAACAACAGGCAATTATATGTCCATAAAAAATGCACTAGGGAAGTAATAAGAAGTTGGTATAAAGTACCTCTCACCTCCGTTTCCACTCAATCCATCCCCTCTCCAGAAGCTACCACTATTTATGGTTTTGTGAGTATGCATGGCTGACCCTGTGCTCTGCTATTAGCTCTCCTCTCTCTCTCTCTCTCTCTCTCTCTCTCTGACTTTGTGTATGGGTTTAACTGGGTCTCAGTTCCTCTGCCTTTATCTCTTTTTTCTTTTGGCCATGCCACATGGCTTGCAGGATCTTGGTTTCCCAGCCAGGGATTGAACCTGGGCCCCAGCAGAGAAAGCCCTGAGTCCTAACCACTGGACTACCAGAGAAGTCCCATCTCTGCCTTTATCTCTTTCTGTTTCTCTGTATTGCTTTTTCCTCCTGATCTCTCAATGCCCCCCCCTTCTCTTTCCCTTTCTCTTTCTGCCTCTCACTCTTTCCTTATCTGCCTCATTCTATTTTTTGCTTCTCCTGTCAAAGCCATTTTTTTTTAAGTTAAAAACTTTCATAAAAATTAAAAATGGGTGCATGCCAATGATTTATTTAACCCGTTCATGAGGGAATAGCAGGGTGGTAAAGCTGATTCCAGGAGAGTTCAAAGAGAGATCATGTCTATATAGCACTGAAGGAAAACTGGAGAGTCTGCTAGGTCATATACAAAACTGGTTCATGTTCTACAAAGCATTAAAGCTCCAGCCTCTGGAGCCTCCTCCATCCTTCCTTTAACTGGACAGAAATCTATGGGTTAATATGTAACTTCAGAGCCAGACCCCCTAATCAATAGTAAACAAGTCAAACAACAGTACATCTCCTAGAGAAGGTGGTCCCTGGATGGGTGTGTCAGTCTAGGCTTTAGTCTAACATCAAGATGATATGCAGTCACCCTCTGGTCTTGTTGCTGAGTTTGGGTCGATTTTTCCACATTTGTTTCTCTGTGTGTGCCTTTTCCCCTCTCTCCTCACCTCTGCTTCTCTCTTGATCATGGCATGCTCGGTCAGTGTCTTTCTCTTCTCTGTCTGAGCCTGTTTCTCTGTCTTTCTTGGACTCTGTCCCTCTGTCTGGATCTCACAAACCCATCTTAATCGCCTTGACCTGGGAGTCAGCCTCGCTGTGCCAGCACCCACACAGGAGCTGCAGGGAAGGGACGGAGCAGCCATGCCCCTGCCACTCTGTCTGAATTTCTCTTTAGCCTTGGAAGGACATCAGATGGAAATTCTGAGCCCCTGGAGCAAAGGAGCTGAGGGTGTGGGACGTGGCAGGAGAAGGGAGGGCCGGCCAGCTGCTGTGGGCTGGAGCGAGCTCCTGGCTTCAGCTGGCTGGGGCGGGGATGATTTCACACCACAAAAATGTCTGAATCAGGAGAATAATCCAACTTGGGATAAGGCTGGGAAGTGGGCCGTTTAGTGGGGGAGGGCAAGGGGTGGAGATCTCGGTGTTGGGACCAGTGGCCAAGATGGGTGGCTGGCTCCGGCTCCTCATGGCTCTGGGGTGGGGCCCTTACCGTTCTGGGGTTTCAGGAAAGAAATGATTCCTTCTCCCACATTGCAAGTCAAAGTGCAAAGTCTGGCCTCCCAAGAGACAGCAGGACAGATTCAGGGTTGCCACCCTGGAGAAACACAAGGCTCCACTAGAAAACCTGAGGATCTGGGGGAGGGAGAGGCACAGGAGACAGTAGAGAAAGAAGAGGAAACACTGAACTGAAAGTCTGCAAGGCCTTGAATTAAATGACATAGTGATTTTCAAGAGTTATTTAGCTGCAGAAGCCGATTAAAATAGCCTAACAACAGCTGCCTTGGGGGGTTCTAAGGAGAGAACCTGAGCCCCCTCACCTTGGTCCTCATCCCCCACCATTTGGAAATTGTGACCTAACACGACAGCCTCATTTTACAAATGAGCCAAGTGCCCAGAGAGGGGAGATGACTTGCCTAAGTCATTTATGGAGTAAGGAACTCAGGCGCCTTGATTCCTGGTCCACTGGTCTCTTCAGAAAGATGGGAAGGGGACTACCTGGTGGACCCGTGGCAAAGCCGCTGCACTCCAATGCAGGGGAATGAGATCCCACATGCTGCAGCTAAGAGTTCACATGTTGCAATCAAGACCTGGTGCAGCCAAATAAATAAAAAGATGGAAAATGACCCTGTCTCCCTGGTAACCCTGGTTTCTCCTCCAGGGATGTACCAGGCAGGTGGATGGAGCCCCTTCCTCATGGCTGCCTACCTGGGGTGAGAAGACTTCAAGCTTCCAGGGAGTGGGTCTGACATTGTCCGGGGCTCACAGTTGGCTCATGGAGCTCTTCCCTTTCCCACAGGGCCGGGTACAGCTTGTGAGTTTGTGATACTCTGTGTCTTGGGACAGATTGCTCTCTCTCTCTCTCTGCTCTTTTTTTTCTTCACCGGTAAAGCCAATAGGCTAAAAATAAACTCATGCATTTCAATTTTTTTCTTAAGTAATGAAATCTTAGGCAAAAGCCTGATATGTCAGACAGGTAACAGTAGTTCTGCTCTAGGTAACTAACAAGGACCTGTTGCGTAGCACAAGGAACTCTACTCAGTACACTGTAATGGCCCATATGGGAAAAGAATCTAAAAAAAAAGGACATATATTTATGTACAACTGATTCACTTTGCTGTGCACCTAAAACTAACACAACACTGTAAATCAACTATACTCCAATAATTTTTTTTTTTTAATGTAGTTCTGCTCTGGTTGAAGGCAGAGATGGACTGGGAATCTGGAGATCTGCCCCTTTGGCTTTCTGTCTCCTTAAGGCTCCTCTATGAAACTCCCATAGAAGCCTGTGTGAACGTCACTGGTGTGGAAAGTCTCGAAGATTCATTACAAGAAGCTGCTGTCTGAGAAATGAAGCCAGGACTGGGGAGAGATGGCCTACTGGATCAGCCCCAGAAGAGAGTGAGTCTGCCAGGCAATGGTGGGGGAAAAGAGACTTGGAGACAGGGGTAAGGGGTTAATTGGTAACTGGTTAATCCACATCTCCCTTCTGTGTCCCCCATCTCCTGAGACCCAGAAAATAAGGATGGAGGCTCTAGGCTGTCCCCCAGGTCAGCTGAGTCACAGCACCGGTTGCCACGTCGCTGGACTGGCGGGGCTGTCATTACCCCCGGGTCCACAGCGGCTAAAACTGAAGAGAGGCTTGGTTTGCGGGCCACGTCAGGGAACATGTAAGATCTGCCACGTTGCCGAACTGGGTTATTGGGCTTTCCCCCTCCTTCAGAAAAGATTTCCAGGCGTGTGGGGTTTCAGGAGAAAATTGGTGCCTGCGTGTGAGTGTTCCCTGGATCCAGACCAGCAGCTGGAGTGTTACAGGGCCAGGGATGGGAGGAGGCAGAACTAATCCATCGTCGAGCTCCTCCAACCCCACCCAGGGCTACAGGGACATAGCTCAGTCTGGAGGGAGCCTGGCATCCTCAGTCATGGATATAGGACCTCAAAGAAAGAGTAAAAGTCTGTCTACTCTGTACACGAATCTTTGACATTTAGAGAGAATTTGTCTACATTTCTGGGCTTCCCTGGTGGCTCAGATGGTAAAGAATCTACCGGCAGTGGAAGATCCCGTGGAGAAGGAAATGGCCACCCACTCCAGTATTCTTGCCTGGAGAATCCCATGGACAGAGGAGCCAGGAGGACCTCGGGGTCACAAAGTTGGACACGACTGAGCAACTTGATGATGACCTGTCTGTATCTCTAGCAGGAGGCCTTTCCTCAGCATACTTTAATAGAGCACTATGCCAAAGAATTCATGAGCTTGGGTCAAGCCCCGGGTCTACCATTCACTGGCCTCATGACCCAGAACAAGTTACTTCAGCTTCCTGGACAAGGACATTGGATCCAACAGACATCCCTCAAAGGCATTTTCATGGAAACTGAGTTCTGAGGGACACATAAAGGTTTTCCCTGGTCGGGGAAATAAGATCTTGAATGCCATATGGTGCAGCCTAAACAAACAGACCAAAAAAAAGAAAGGTTTATTTCCTGAAGAACTTTTCAGAGGCTTTAACACTGTCTTGTGCCTCAGGAATAGCCATGAGGAAGGTGGCTAATGCCACACTTCCCAAGTCCATTTGAACCCAAGGTTCCCCCTTTTTATCTGAGGACTAATAGTATGTGAATATGCTTTGGGAAATTTTTAATGCTCTAATGATAAGATAGTTCACATTTCTGGATAGTGCAGGATATGAAACAGTGAGCCAAACACAATACATATATAATTTCATTTAATCCTTACAAGATCCTCATAAAGGCAGGGGGCTGGGAGGGGGTGTGGATTGTACCATTACATTTGAGAAAACTGAGGTTGGAGCTGAAATACTATGCCCCAAGTTTTAATGTGTTTTTTTTTCCTTAATTTTTGGCTGTACCTCGCAGTCTGCGGGATCTTAAATTCCCTGACCAGGGCTTGAACCTTCACACCCTGCAGTGGAAATGCAGAGTCTTAACCACTAGACCACCAGAGGAGTCCCTGCCCAGAGTTTTTTATTTTTTATTTAATTTTTTTTTTCTGCCCAGAGTTTTTTTTTTTTTTTTTCCATTTGCCCAGAGTTTTAGAGTTAAGTCACTTGTCACAGGATCCAGGCCCAGAGATCTGACTCCAAAGTTGGGCCTTTCAACTTTGCTCTTGTTAACTCACTGTCTGAAACCTACTCTCTCTTGAATCTAACACTGACTTTGTACTCAGGAGGGTCAGATGTATAATCATGCTTATTTAATAAGACAAGAAAATCGAGGTGCAGAGAAAGGATAGGCCACTCAAGGATAGATTACAGGCAGGACCACAGGGTCCCACTAAGGGCAGAACCTAACTGCAACTCAAACACTGTTCATTGGTGGGGGGTGGTAGTTTGTGTCAACTCGAGGAAGTGCAGCCAACATATGGTGAATGCTTTGCCACTTCAGTGGACAAGGAGATGCCTCGGTAATCTCTCCCTTGAACCCAGGTAGAGGCAGCTGGTTAGTAGAAAGAGCCTCAGACCAGTTTGGAGTGGTCATTTCAGCTTCACCTGGGCCATCTGGGTGGCCATGAGCAGAACATTCTGTCTGTTCAAGCCCTGAATGTGCTGAGTGAATCCTTACTTTTCTATCTGAGGGACTGACTGTGCTGCTCCCTAAGATATGGGAATAAAAGTCCTTTATGAACTGTAGAGAGCTGAGGGACAATTGGCTGGTGGGAGTGTTGAGAGTGCAGAGGGTGCTGACATGAAATTCCATCCTCCTCTCCCTTTGGCCTTGCCCTGGTCATCGGCCACTCTGCCCAGGGGACCAACGACCAGAAAACAATGGGCTCTTTGTGCCCTTCAGCCAATGGGAGGGCCGGCCCAGGGAAAGATACAGTAACAGGAAGACAGGCTGAGTCAGTCTCCCTGTGCCCAGGCTGTCTTAGTTCGGCAGCCTTGACCTTCAGCCAGATGCACAAATGGTGCATGTCAGAGTTTTGATACATAATCTTAAGTCCAAAGGGATCAGGTGGCACAATCCCTGCCTCCAGAGACTTGGAGCAGCCAGAGTTGGCCTCCGCTTGGGCCTGGAGACCAGGGCTCTAAGCCTAGCTTTCTATACTGTGACCTTGGGCTCTATAGTCCTCCATTTCCCCAGCCATACAAGGAGGAGTGGGCCTGGATAGAGCTGAAGGGCCCTATCAGCTTTAAACTTTGAAAGACTAACAAAGATTCAACCTGAGCTCAAAGGTTGGGTGGGCTTGGGGCAGATGGGGGAAGGGAGGGAGCCTCACCAAGAACATGGCACAGGCAAGGTTGTGATTAGGGAAGTGACAGAGAGCTGGGGTCTGGAGTTAAGCTACTTATGTAGATTCCTAGCTTTACAACAGTGGGACTTTGAGCAAGCTATTTAATTTTCTGAACCTTTCCTCATCTTTGGAATGGGAATGGTAATTGCACCTCCCTGCATGCCTGCTAAGTCGCTTCAGCTGTTTCTGACTCTTTGCAAGCCCATGGACTGTAGTCTGCCAGGATCCTCTGTCCATGAGATTCTCCAGGTAAGAATACTGGAGTGCGTTGTCTTTTCCTCCTCCAGGGTTCTTCCCAACCCAGGGACTGAACCCGAGTCTTCTGCATCTTCTACACTGGCAGGTGGGTTCTTTACCACTAATGCCACCTGGGAAGCAATTGTACCTCCCTATGGTAGACAAAATAATGCCCCCCCCAAAAGAAGTCCATGTTCTTATTCCTGTAACTGTTAGGCTTTGGAGATGGGAAGATTATCCTAGATTATCTGGGTGGGCCCAATGTAATCACAAGAGGCTCTATAAGAGGGAGGTGAGAGGGTCAAAGTCAGAAAAAGGAGATGCAACACCAGAAACAGAGGTTGGAAAGATGTGCTTGGAGGACGGAGAACAGGCCACAGGCCAAGAAAGGCAGCTGGCCTCTAGAAGCTGGAAAAGGCATGGACACAGATTCTCCTCTCAGGCCCTCAGAAGAAACACAGCCCCGCCAAGACCTTGATTTTAGGACCTCTGATCTTCAGAAATGTAAAGTCATAAATGTGTGTTTTAACTCACCAAATTTGTGATAATTTATTATAGCAATAATGGAAAACTAATATCCTAGCTAAGTGTGTATATTAAGTGAAGTTTAAAAGAGATAATGAACACAAGTGTTTTGCCCAGTGTCTGCTGAGAAATATTGGAAATTATCATCTCTCTTTCTAGTTTACTCATAATTATACCAATGGGACCTGGTCTCCCCCAGGCCCTCAAGTTTCCACATACAAAACTTTTTTTTTTTTTTTTTTTTTACTTGCAAGGCCCACTCAGGATTTACAGCCTTGGAGATCTGAACTGCTAAGATCCTGACACTGCTTCTGATGTGAGGCCTGAGGGGATGTTTCTTGGCACTGCTTCTATTTACTTAACTTTCTGCTTGGTTGCCTTCCTTCTTGCTAGAAGTCAAATTGACAGAGTCTCCCCATCTCTTTCCAGAGCTCAGACCTCTTGCTTCCTCTTTAGGTAGTTCTGCTTGTATGTGGGAACACTGGTAGCCCACTTGGCCCCAGTTCAGCTCCCAGAGATGGTCCATCACGTGGTTCAGGTGACAGAAACTCTGGAGTTATGAGCAGAAGGACGAGCACGTTCTCAGTGGGCCTGAGATTTGTTCTCTGAGCCAGGGCTCAGGAGACCTGGTTTTGAGCCCCATTTCCATGGGCTTCCCTTGTGGCTCAGCTGGTAAAGAAAAGGACGAGCAGGTTCTCAGTGGGCCTGAGATTTGTTCTCTGAGCCAGGGCTCAGGAGACCTGGTTTTGAGCCCCATTTCCATGGGCTTCCCTTGTGGCTCAGCTGGTAAAGAATCCACCTGCAATTTGGGAGACCTGGGTTCAATCCCTGGGTTGGCAAGATCCCCTGGAGAAGGGAAAGGATACCCACTCCAGTATTTTGGCCTGGAGAATTCCATGGACTGTATAGTCCATGGGGTCACAAAGAGTCGGACATGACTGAGTGACTTTCACTTTCACTTTCCACTAAGTGACTGGGGCCTCAGTTTCTCTGTATCTACAACCTAGGTCCTAATTCCCATTTCCCTGATTCCTTCACAGGATGGCTCTGTCATTCACTGAGAAAGGAGATGAAGAAGAGGGATGAAGCAGAGGAAGAAGATGGAGAGGAGGATGAGGAAGGCCATGAGGAGAAGGAAAATCTCTGATCTATAATTCTAGACAGATTTCAAGCAAAAGAAAAAAGCAAGGGCCTGGCAACTAATCCCCCCCTGCCCGGAAAAACCCCCCCCCAACCCCTCCTGCCGAATCAACAATCAATTTTTCCCCCCAAATTGACCTCCTCCAAAGGCCTACCCTGACCACCCTATCAGTAAATAATTCTCCCATTACCTTCTAAAGTCATCCTGTTTAGTTCATTCACAGAATTGATCACAACTTGAAACTTCATTTATCACCTGCCTCTAGTTATTAGAATGTAAAAGGCAGGAAGACAGCCTTTGCCCTACTGATGGATACAGCCTCTGTGGAGTGGAGTCCATGAATGAGTGATGGAGGCAGCTGATGTTCTGGGAGGTATGGGAGCCCGGACACTGTGCGCTTGTGGGCACTGTCCTGGAGTTCTAAAGCTGTGCTGGGTGCTAATGTCAAGAAGGGAAGGATCAAAGGAGCAGGGGTGGTACCTAAAGGAGCACAGCTGGTGAGAGGCTGGACAGGGTGATGAGCAGCTGGTAGGGACCCCAAGGGGCTGACTTCTCATTCTGCAAGCTGAAAAGCTGATCCAATCTGATGTGGGGTCAGCAACACACCCAACTAGGGAGATGGGCACCCAATGGTGGTGCAGTCCAGAGTTCACATATGGCAGAGATGGAGGGGAACTTAGCAGGAGTACAGTGTAGTTAAACACTTGGGCACTGGTGTCCCTTATACCTGAATTTGAATCTCTGATTTAATCATGTACTTGTTGCATGAGCTTGGGCAAATTATCGATCTGAAATTTCACTTTCCACATCTCTAAAATGGGAATAATAGTTCCTATCTCATAAAGGTTAGGTCAGAAAATATGCACCAAGCACTTAGCTCAGTGCTTGGCACATAGTAGGTGTTTAATAAATACTGGCTCTTATGACTACTGTGGGGCTCCCCTGGTGGCTTAGACAGTAAAGAATCTGCCTGCAGTGCAGAAGACGCGGGTTCAATCCCTGGGTTGTGAGATCCCCTGGAGAAGGAAACGGCTACCCACTCCAGACAGAGGAGCCTGGCAAACTACAGTCCACAGGATTGCCAAGAGTTGGACATGACAAGCGTCTGAGCACACACAGGATTACTATTATGCTGTCCAACATACTAACCAATGGGAAAGGTATAGCTCAGACAGGGACAGGGGTGAGGCTGTGTCACTCAGTAACTCAGTGTCAGAGCAGGGACTGGCACCCAGGACGAGTACCCCTCCCAACTGCACTTCTCTCTCTTCCCTTGGGGGTGGCTGGAGGACCAGCCTTAGTCCTAATGGTCTCCCTCCCTAGGTCCAAGTCATCTTGCTTCAGAGGCTCCTGTCCCCCCAGCGTGCTAGTGGGGGGGGGACCTAGACAGAAAACCTCCCAAGTTTTCTTCTGAAGAATCCAGGCTCAGGGTCTCCCCACAGAGCCTGGGAATAGCCCCCAGATGGGATCTTTGTCCCAGAGCTTTAGCCTAGCCCCAATCAGCTTTCTAGCTCCTGAACTGAAGGCCTCATGAGAACTCCAGCCAAACACTGGGAATGGTTCCATCAGCTCACTTTCATCAGAATCATTATCTTAGTTTATGAAGAAAAACACAACGTTTAAGTTAATTTTAGTCCCCACGATCCCTGGGAGCTATAGCAACCAATCCTATAAAAGCACACATCTGTTCCCAGTGCAAACAGATATCTGAGGAGTCTGCCAGCACCCAGTACTAAACAGCTGAGGCAGAGTTCTTGATTTGTGCAACTGGGAGAGGTCTTGGGGGTCAGTGGGTGCAGAGATACTTTCATGGATTTCTGACTCATCCCTTTCAAAACCTGAAGGAAGCCATGGGCCTTCTCTGATGAAAAATGCACAAACAGCCGGAGTTTCTCAGATTCAAGAATCTCTCTTCCCCCGTTTTTTTTTTAACTTCGCATTTTATAGTGGAGCACAGTGATAACCATGTTGTGTCAGTTTCAGGTGTACGGCAAAGTGATTCAGTTATACTGTACATGTATCTATTCTTTTTCAAATCCTTTTCCCATTTAGGTTGTTACAGAATACTAGGAACATTGCCTGTGCTGTACAGTAGGTCCTTGTTAGTCATCTTATTCTATATATAGTAGTGTGTCTATGTCAACTGCAATCTCCCAGTTTACGCCCCCCAAGCCCTTCCCCACTGGTAACCATAAATTCGTTCTTTAAGTCTGTGAGTCTGTTTTGGTTTTGTATGTAAGGTCGTTTGTATCATTCTTTTTAGATTTGCATATAAGCAGTATCATATGCTATTTGTCTTTTTCTATCTGACTTTACTGCACCTGAAGACCAGGGAAGACCAGCATGGGGCACTATCGCAGGCTGGAACCCTAGTAAAAGACAACTTCCACTCTGACAGCCAGCTTTGTGCTGGCCGCTGCTCCAGCCCCTTGAAACACTGCAGCGAATTAGACACATGAAGTGCCTGTTGTCACGCGGTGTCTGTGGACCACAGGTGACGAACCACTCCTCGTCATGACCAGTGCCAGGAAGGGAACAAAGCCAGGTGAGGAGCTGAACTAAGCCTGTGAGAGCCTCCATTAGGAGACAACGTTAGAACAGAGATCTGAAGGGTGAAAAAGCTCCAGGCACAAGAAAATCAGATGGGAGAATGTTCCTGACAGAGGTAAGAGCAAGTGCAAAGCCCCTGAGGTGGCAATAATGTTTCAGTCATTGAGGAACTGAAAGGAAGCCAGTGTGGATAGAATACAGTGAAATAAAAGGAGGAGAGTGACAGGAGGAGAGGATGGCAAAGAAGGCAGAGGCCATATTGTGCAGAAGTTCATGAAAATGTTCTCTGCCTTCTCCCTTTTCATGTTATTCAAACCCAATTCATGTTTTGAGAGCTACCTATTACAAGAAGCCTTCTCTGCCTGCTCTGACTCAGAAACCCTGCCACTCTAAACTCCTGGGGGTAAACTTCAGAATCTGAACCACTTATGTGAGTGGATGAATGCCTAAGGCATGCCCTCTCAGCAAGATCCAAGCACCTTGAGGACAAGGACCAGATATTAATTCTTATACTTCTCCAGATGCTAGCTGTGCACTCATAAATATTTATACACTCATTGATATTCTCATAAATATTCAACTAAGACCTGTTGCACCAAGAAGTTCATACACATCAAAGTGAACCAGGTTGGGACTTCCTGGTAGTCCAGAGGCTAATCTGCTTGCTAATGCAGAGGACACAGGTTCAATCCCTTGTCTGGGAAGGTCCTACGTGCCACGGAACAGCTAAACCTGTGTGTCACAACTGCTGAGCCCATGCACCTTGGATCCTGAGCTCCACAGATAGAGAAGCCACCTCAGTGAGAAGCCAAAGCACCACAATGATGAGTATGCCTCACCCATTGCCAATCAGAGAAAGTCCACATGCAGCAACAAAGACCCAGGGCAGCCAAAAATAAATACCTAATTTAAAAACGAAGTGACCCGGACTGAATGTAGAATCCACCTGCCTACCCCACTTCTAGGGGTATCTTGGGCAAGTAACAGCCTCTTAGTGCCTGTTTCCTGATTAGTAAAATCAGCATAGTAACAGTATCTATGTCAAGGGTTTGCTGAGAAAATTCTAAGTCCCAAGTAAACCTTGGTCATTGTTAGCTCTGTGATCTTAATCCATATCAGCAATCACCTTATCTATTCTATACTGATGACACCGATTCCCCCAGCTAGATGGCCAACCCCTTCTGTTCTATCGGTGGCCCAGCTAAGAGTTTGAGCGGTTATTTTTAGACAGTATCCCAAGCCATCAGTGATGACGCCATCAATGGCAGCTTCTTCAGTCTGTACAGAGGCAAGTCCCGGCCTTGCCTTTGCCACAGATATAACCCCCTTGCAGGGCTCTGCCCTCCTCAGCACTGCCTGATGCTAGGGAGCTCTTGTAAAGATCACCAGTCAGACACTCCAGACTCTTGGGCCAGGATATTCCCCTTGGGAACCCTGGGTGGGTGATCCCTTGCCCCCTCCAGGCCTCAGTTCCCCTCTGAACAAGGAGAGGGCTGTTCTAGGTGATTCCTGCTGGCCTTTGCAGTCCCAGCGCTCTGCTCGGTCAGTCTGTCTAGGCAAGAGCTCCAGAACCCACGTGGCGGGCGGGGTCGGGAGGTGGGTCAGGACAGCCCTCTGAGAGGAGAGGAGGAAGGCCTTGGAAGACGGAGACAGCTTTGGCTGTGGGGAGAAGGGGAGGGGAGGGGAAGGGAAGGAGGAGACACAGGAGGAGGAGGGACCGCGGGGTGGAGGGGGAGACAGACCCAGCCCAGAGCTCTGAGTGGCTTCCTGTTGCCAGGCTCTAAGCCCCTCACATTCCTGCAGACCTTCAGACTGCCCGGAGCTTGCCTGCTGCCTGCCTGCCCGCCACTGAGGTATGTCCGACCCCTGCCCTGACTGTCCCTCCTCTAGGCCTGCACCCCCTGCACCCCGGTCCACTCCTCACTTTGTGTACAAGGGAAAGAAACTGTGTTGGGAGGTCTCCGGGCGCGGGGACTCCATCCTTGCTCTCCCGAAGGGCAGGGGACACGGACTTGCTGCCCGTTAACTTCTCAGGTGAAACTGAGATCCTGTGGTCTCCCTTCTGGGTTTGCAGAAAGTAATCCGACTGTCTCTGAGAGAGTATTTTCTCTCTGTCTCTCTCTGGGCCTGTCTCACGGGTTTCAGAGGCTGCCTTTACAAATGGGGGCCACTTCTTATTTGCAGTGAGAAGTCCAAACTCTGCACTAGGCTGCTGTTAGGTCTTCTTCAGGTAAACCCCTTCCTACCTGTGGCTCCACTGGCTGGTTGATGAGTGGGCTTCCTGAGTCCCTAAGGGCACCAAGGGAAAAGGGGGGCCTTGGGGAAGGCATGTCTTCCAGGAAGCCCAGCCCACCCAAAAAGGAACAGAGGGGCACACATTTTCCTCCAGAAAATGCCATTCTATGCAGAACATATAGAGAAAGAGTTTTCTTTGTGGTTGAATTTCTGTGCACCCCAAGTGCTGACAGCAGGACGAGACGCACATCAGAAGTAGGGGGGCAGACTGAAGACATACGTTTTACATGTGAGCTTAGGTAAATGTCTCCCTTGGGACTTAGTCTCCCTGTCTGTAAAGTAAGAGGAATGGACTCAATGGTCTTTGGGGTGCCCGATGTACTCTGAACTTTCCAATGAAGGTCTCTTAAAGCAGAATTCTCCTTAAACCTAGCTTTTGGCTAGGTTTCATGGAGATTGCAAGCCCCTTAAAATTGTATATACAGTTGTGTGTGTGTGAGAGAGAGATGCGAGAGAGAGACAGAGAGAAACAAAGTTCGCGGCAATATCCAAGAGGGTGTTCACAGCCTTCAGTCTTAAAAATATTCTCAAATGACACTTGCCCCTCCAGGTAGCCAGTGGGAGATGGAGAGGGTGGGGACTGGAAGCCAAGGTGTATTTGCAGGAGGATGAAAAGCTTTGAAATGGGAGTGGTTGGGGGGAAGAGAGAGTTAACTTGCAGCCATCAGCTGCCACATCGACAAAGCCTGGAGCTAGAGTTGAGGGAGGGAGGGGGAGGCAAGGGAGGGTGCCTGGGGAAGAAATCAACTTTTGAAACTTTCTCCAAGTCCCACCCACCAAAAGCCTCTTCTTTGCTATGACTCACTCTAGGAGGAATGCGAGTTGCCACGGTAACCTTTTTTTCAGGGTCTCTGCCTGCTGGCTGGGAGGGGACACTAGAAACTCTTAGACTATCAGGCTCTGTAGGTCTGAATGTCCCCCACTCCACTCCATCCCAAGAGGGCAAATTCTAGGTCCTGCCCTCCCAATCTCCAATCTCCCGGGACCCCAGGGCAGCTGTGGGGCTGTAAGATGCTTCCTGTTTCCTGGGATAGGCTACTTGAAGACCCGAGTTTTAAAACCACCTCTACCTCAAAGGTGCCAGTTGACCTTGAACTAATGGCTTCTCCTTTCTGAGCCCCAGGTTCAAGGAGAACCAGGTCCTCCTTGGTTCAAAAAGTGTTAACACCACCAACTCAAAGGGATACTGTGTGGACAAAATTGGGATGATACACAGAGAAGCGCTTGCTACACTGTGGCCCTCTCACCTAAAGAGATGGGTTTTTAGAATGGATGAATTGATGGCATCCGAAGAATTGGTGACATCATTCCCTGCATTTTTGTCCAGCAGCTTCATCATTTTAGGGTTTGGATATAACTTCCCTTTACTAAAAGTGCCAACAGACACATTTAAGCAAAATAAATATTGTCCAAATTCTTTTGATTTGGGCACCTTCATATTTCCCAAGAGTGTTGCACCCTCCAGTGTCCAGGGCAAAGGCAGAGGTGGATCCTAACTGACAGTGACATTTGGAGAGACACTTCCCCTCTCCAGACTCAGTTTCCCAATCTGTTAAATGGGGACTCTAACCTAGGGTCTCCAGGTGCCCTTTCAGCTCTGAAGTCCTGTGAACCTAACTGCCAGGTGCTGCTTTCATTAGAAAGAACAGTCAGGCCACCTTTTTAGCAGCTCCTGGCCCCCTAGTTGAAAAGGAAACAAGAGAGGAGGGGCTAGGGGAAATTGGATTGCATAATAGTCCTGCTAAAATCTTTATCCATATGTAGAGACTTGTCAACCAACTGCATGGCTGGGGTTTGCTATTCACAAGAGCAGTTTTCTATGCTAAAAAATAAGCTATAAATAGAAAGGGATGATGAAGGAAAGGAAAGAGCTTGAGGATGTGAGGTAAACAGGAAAATATTTGACTTTTGACATTATTTAGACAGGTAGCTATGTGTGCAGAGATAAACAGGGACAGACACAAAGCCACGAGGATGCCAAGTATATAAACATTGATTTCACTGACAGGCATCCACTGGCACAGCTGAAAATAAATGTTTCAATACGTGAGCAGACACAGGGGGTCATGCACTTATGGCTCTCTCTGAGCAATACCCTAACTCACAGACAAGTCTCGGATGTCCATCCGATGCATATGCAAACTCTGACCCTCACCTATATGGGCTGAAACCAACAGATGCTGAGTCAGGACCAACACGCATCGTCACATACAACGCTTCACACAGTGGTCCTCAAGGTCATTGGTCACTTATGCAAATACACAATCACCATTTGTAGCCACACACAGACATGCACAGCCAGACCTAACTTCAGGTCATGGCGGGGAGATAGACACCTGAGTGTTAGTTGCTCAGTCATGTTTGACTCTTTGCAACCCCATGGACTGTATGTAGCCCACCAGGCTCCTCTCTCCATGCGATTCTCCCAGCAAGAATACTGGACTGGGTTGACATTTCCTTCTCCAGGGGATCTTCCCAACCCAGAAACTGAACCCCGGTCTCCTGCACTGCAGGCAGATTCTTTACCATCTGATCACCTGTTGTATATTATAGACAGAAATTGAGACTCAGGAAGGGAGAATAACTCAAAATCACACCGCAAACTGATGTCTGAGCCAAATTTTCAGACACCTGGAAACATCCAGATGTTCATTTTGGCTTCTTTTGTTGGTTTCCTTTGAGCAGTTTGGTACTCTCCTGACATTCCTCCCTGTAGTCAACAAGCCCCATGGATAAAAAGTGATAAGAGCTACATCTCTTCCTCCTTTGCTGGCTTGCCGTGGCCTGATGCAGCCCACATGGCTATGTAATTAGGGCAACAGGAGATGGCTAAGTGGTGACTGCAACCAGTGACTTGACAGAATTATTTAGAAAAACAGCCTCCTTCTTATCCAGGAGATGTCTAGACAGGACATTAACTCTGCTCTCACTTGTCAAGTTATAGAGCTTGATGTCTGTAGGCAAAGTAGAAATGGAGATACCAACTTTCGCTATAGTTGGGTTCTTTCAGAGATGTGGTATTTAACCCATTTCATCTGGGGATCTTTCTGGGCCCTTATGTGTTAGTCATGGCCATAGGATCCTAGACTAATCAAATAAAAAAATAAACAATTCCCCAAACATCTTGATATTTCTGAATATCTGGAAGTTCAGCCCAGATACCAGCTTGCCATGTATGACCTCAAGTGAATTATTTTCCCTCTCTGATCCTCAGTCTTCTTGTCTCTAAAATCAAGAAGCATGGCAAAGAGGTGTTGTTTGGCATGACACCACCAATCCATTGGTAGCAGCTGCCAAAAGAACTGTGTCCAGAATTTGAGTGCCACTCTGGACTTTAGGGGGAAAGGTCATATGGTTGATTAGCAACGTCTGCCACATGCACCGGAGGGGCAGGTGGAGCCACATGTGCCATGGATTTGCTTGCTATCTTTAGGATGTGACAGCCTGGACACTTTGATGTTATTTCTCATCCCTTCCATTTGTGGTCACCCAGATGCACCAGTGGCCCCTAGGGGGAGCCAACAGGGAGAGCCTGAAGCTCCACCCTGGGGCTTCTAACCACAGTGAAACGTGGCATCTTAGATGTGTTTATGGAACCTCTGTCAGACTGATACCCGTCTCATGCTCTGGGGCTATTTCTGAGTTGCCTCTGAACATCTTCAAACCTATGCTTGAGCACCCTAAAACAGGGGTCCCCGACTTCCCGGACCTAATGCCTGATGATCTGAAGTGGAGTTGATGTAATGATGGCAATAATGTGCACAATGAATAGAATGTGCTTTAATCACACCCTTCACTCTGCCCTGGTCTGTGGAAAAATGGTCTTCCATGAAACTTGTCCCTGGTGCCAAAAGGGTTGGGGACCGTTGCCCTAAATGTTTCTTTTAGCTTCTTCCCTTCCAGCAAGAATTGTTAGAAGCAGAAGCAGGGAGTCAAGGGCCAAGTTGTGAAAGGTGGTCCTCTGATAGGCTTCTGACTCAGCTGACTTGGAATGTCAGGGCTGAAAGGAACCTTCGGGACTACGGCCTCAGGGTCTTCAAACTCTCTCATAAAAGAAATTAGAGGTTCTCCGAGGCGTCTCAAGGAGTGTCCCAGCGCCAGCCCCCATCTCAACACTGCTTCGTTTTTTTTTAAATTTTAAGCTGATTCATTGAATAGATAATAGTACATTCATATGTACAACAAAGGTGAACGGCTCTTAGTTGTTTCAAACTTGGACTTCTGCAGAAGACTTCATTGAGAGAAAGGGCTCCCTGGCGTGTATGACTCTGAACGCCACTGATCTAGAACAAACTCTGCACTGTGCAGATGAGTGGCACTAGGTGAAGTCCAAGGAGTAGAGGAGCCTATTCTAATTTGAAGGGTGAGCTGAGAGCAACACTGCCAAGACTTCCCAGGGCTCAATCCCAGGGCTCCTGACTTCCACATCACTTCTGAGTGGCTGTGTGTGCTCCCTGGGGTGAGTGCCCACGTGGCTACACTGGCCACAACGGCACCTCTCTGGACTGTCTCAGCCCTCCTTCTGAGTCCTGGCATTCTGGTGGGACTGGCTCAATCACGAGTTCCTTTATTAGCCTCTAGACTTGTTTTCCTCTCTTTGGGCTTGTTTACCAGGAACATGTGTTTTGGGAACCCTTGTTGGTAAGCCAAATGGTGGAAGCAAGATGCCTGGTTTGCGTCAGCAGCCCAACTGAGAGGGCAGCCTGGGGCCTGGCTTCATCACTGTGCCCTGTGGAGGCTGGGCTGGTGCCCGAGACCAAAAGGAGTAATGCCTCCTTTGTTCCAGCCCAGCACCTGTTCTCCCTGGGCCATGGACAAAGAGCTGGGATTCTTGTCCTGGATTTTCAAGGGGAATGGAGGTTCTGGGATCTTTGTTTTTTAAGATACTCTTCTGATGTTTATCTCTTGTAAAAACCCATGAGTCTTTCAAGGTAAGTGTGTTATTTTCATTTTAAAGATGGAGAAATAAACTGAGGCCCAGAGAGGGAAAACCACTTTCTGAAAGTCACACAACTGCTATACGGCAGAACCAGGATTTGAACCTGTATATTCTGCCTCCAGAGCCCCTGGGCTTACCTCTCTGCCAAAATGCCTCTATAAAAGTTGATAACCACTCTGTCTAATATGGGCTTCCCTGGTGGCTCAGATAGTAAAGAATCCGTTAGCAATGAAGGAGACCTGAATTCGATCCCTGGGTTTGGAAGATCCCCTGAAGAAGGGAAAGGCAACCTACTCCAGTATTCTTGCCTGGCGAATCCCATGGACAGAGAAGCCTGGCGGGCTATAGTCCACAGGGTTGCAAAGAGTTGACTGAGGGACTAAGCAAGCTCTGTGTTAATATGGTAGCCACTAGCCACATATGGTTACGTAGAATTTAAGTTAATTAAAATGAAATACAATGAAAACTTCAGCCCTTCATTTGCGCTAGCAACATTTCAAGTGTTCAGTAACCACTGGCGGTCACTAGCCACCACGTTACATAATGCAGATATAGAATATTTTCACCATATTAGAAAGTTCTATTAGACTGCATTGCTTCATAAACTCGTCTACTCAAATCAGATTTGATGACTGTAACTCAGATTCTGTGCTTCAAGTCCTTAGGGGTCTATGATTCCAAGATCCACAGTCTAAAATTGAATGATTCCAAGATTTTTCCCTAGCTCTGTCCTTCAGCAACTTTTCAATGTCCAGAGAGAGCCCACAGGAGGCCGTTTATGTTTCAAGAGAGATGAACTTGGGTGGGGTGGGGGGCAGGCAGCTGTACTTTTCCATCCCCAGACTCTTTCTAAAGGAGGAGAGGTGACCTCAGCTTCGGGTCCTGCTGGCAGGCAGGGACGGGTTTTCAGCCGTCTCCAGAGCAAATAAAGGCAAAAGGAAAGGACTGGATGTTCGGAACAGGAGGCAGGGGCGGTGGCGGGGTGGGAGTGAGCAAAGTCTGCATCTGACGACCACTGGGCCAAGGGAAACACACCTCCTGCTCCCCTGCTCCCAACCCTCCCAGTCTCTTTTNACACCTCCTGCTCCCCGCTCCCAACCCTCCCAGTCTCTTTTCCTCCAGGATACCTTGGGCCAGTTCACAGCCCAACTGGGCCCCCTTCAGGTGAGCACCTAGCGGAGGAACTGCCGCCAAGGGAAACAGCACGTGAGGCAGAGGGCAGGCCAGAGGCGGCGGGGGGCAGCCTTGGTCTTCATTCAGCCCTGCCACCCACTCCCTGGGGCTCTGGGCAGGTTTTTTTCCCTCTGGGCCTGAGCCCTCTCTTCTGTACTATAAGGTAGCATGCCTTCAGCCCCCAAGGGGATGCCAGATTATGAAAACATTCTTAAAAGGATAAACACAGGCATCATTACAAACTAAAGAGATACAGAGTTTTTATTTAATACTGCTCATCTATAGAAAGGTGTTTATATTTTCACCAGGGTGGGGGGGCATGCCAGACCTAGGTTTGACTGGCAAAGGATGTGTGTACAGCTGATCATTTCTGGATACTGGGGTTTGGCCCTGTGTCCTGATCTTGCTAGGGTTACTGATGCATCCCTGACCTTTGCAGGACGGGCACCTGGCCTCTTTCACCAGAGGTGGTTTAGAGAACCTCAGAGAGGGAGCTCACGGGTATGCAGGGAGTATGGTCATACATTCGAGAACCGTCCACTGCTGCCCTTCCCTCCCATCAAACAATCTGGATGGAGAGGATGTTGGGACTGGTGAGGGAAAACTGGGCAAAACCCCAAATTAGGAAAACAACTCCTCCTCCAAGACTGTGTGTCCTTTTCTTAACACTTACTTCCCACTTTTCTCCCCGATCCCCACCCCAGTCGCAAAGAAAAACTCTATGAGGCCCAACCCAAGTCCATGAGGAGGAATTTTGTCAGCTTGAAAGGGGCCTGAATGTTGTCTGACTTCCTCCCTCTCCACCTCAGACCCCTCATCGGAACAGCGGGACTCACAGCCCTCCCATGCCATGGTGCCAGTGTGTGAGACCATTAGAAATTTTAATGCACCGTGAGATCTAGAGTGACTTTTCTCTTCTGGCTGCAGCACCAAGGATGGGGGTGGCAGAAAGAGTCAGCATGCCACTGGGAAAGCACAGCTGGTGAGGTAGGACAGACAGAAGAGCTGACCCACAAATCTTTCCCTGGTCGCAGAGGAGGAGCGGTTCCTCTGCTCAGATGAAGGACACAAACCCTGGAGATGCCAGTCTTCCTGGCTCTCCAAGCTGAAGCTTACTGCCTTTCCAGCCCTAGCTGGGCTGCTTCTCTAACTGTAGGACTTGTCTGTCATTGGAGCCCAGATAAAGTGCCTTTTTTTATTCCTGCTATGAGTCTCTGACCCTTCAACTTCTAACCGTCTCAGACAAGCCTTTCATTCATGCTTTCTCTCCTGTTCCTTTCACCCAAAGCCACATGCAGGCATTGTTTTGCTTTTGTCTCCAAGCGGGGAAGCAAGAAAGGAGATTTTTCCACCTCTAGGCTTGAGAAAAGTGGAGCGGGGAAGATAAGCATAGGACTGTGTGTGCAGGGGAGGGGGAGAGGAACATTTCCAAAACCTGGGAAGGGAAGACTGCATTCAGATGGGAGAGTTGGGGATACCACGAAGCAAAACCAAGCTCCCAGGTGGATTTCTTTAAATTTCTGTTGGTTTTATTTCGTATACATGCCATAGAATACTGAGGTTTAGTGTCTATTTCAACCCCAATAGAGGACCATTATGAAGTCTTCCCTTCTGCTGCCTGTTTCTACTACCCAAATACCATAATTTAAGTGAAGATGGGGATAATGGAGGGGATGATGTGTGCCAAGACCAGCCTGTGCTTAGGACAGCTACAGGGCATCTCAAGGGCTCAGGCCACCACCTCAAAGCTCAGCTAGTCCAACCCTCTCAAGTAATAAAAGAGGGAAACCAAGATCCAGAGAGGATGAAGGATTGAACCAATATACCAGGTTAATATTGAGATAGAGCCAGAATCCTTGGGATTTAGCTCCAAGATAAGTGTTTCTTCCATGATGCCAGGGTACCTCCCACCAAAGTACTTGGTCAGTTGAGAAATCTTGGAAGGAACCAGGGACAAACGAGGGAAGACATGGCCACTGCCCACATTGACTAAAAAAGCTGCTTAGGCGCAGGGGAGCATGCTTGCTCTGTGTGGCCAGAGATGGAAGATCACAGTAGACCAGGAGAAGCTTGAAGGGAGGCAAGCTGAACAGTAGAAGGAAGGACTTTCTAAAGCCATTTGGAAATGGAAGTTCATTGAGTTAGAACAAGAAACAAAACATCCCCACCACCGTTCCTTGGTTAGGGACGACATTTTGTCAGCAAATCATAGAGATTCTGCTCCAAGATGCCCTCCAGCCATGAGATCGTTAGAGTCAAGAGCTCAGCACCTAGAGGAAGGTTTCAGCAGTGACCAGGGTGGGAGAATTTTCTAGAGAACGTTCTAGATCTCAGTTAACATCTTTTAGCTGTGAAGGGAAAACAGAAGGTAACACTAAACATATGAAGCATTTGGGTAGTTTCCACACAGAATCCAGAGAAGTACCATCCATCCTGGGCAGAATGGAGGAAAGTATGGCCATAAGTTTCCACTGACCACACTCGAAAACTATTGTTCTTTGTTTTAGAATGTAGGCCTCATTGTCTCAAGTTGGCAAGGGGTTGCTGCCTATTAAATTCTCTTATTAAGGAGGGGTAGGGAGAAGGAGGTCGGGGCAAAGAGGGGAGAGGAGGAAGAGTCTGGGGTATAGGAAGAAAAGAATCCTAGAACATCAGGGATTGAAGGGCCCTTGAACAAGATACAGTTCAGCATTGCCCAGACTTTAATTAACCAGTTATCTGTGTCCAATCACTGTTTAAAATTTTAAATAAATGTACTGAGGGAAGAGACAAGATCCCTACCGTAAATGGAAAAACCTGCGTACTTCTGTCATAAATAGAAGGAAACTGTTAAACTAGACACAAAGGAGACAGAACAACTGTACTGAATTCCAGCTGGATGTCGTTTCCTGCGGAGGCTCTGAGCCAGAGGCCTGCCCTCTGTTCAAAAGGGCAAGAGAAGAGTGTTAGATGTTAAAGACTTGTTAGCACCAAACTGAGACTTTCTCATACCATCAGGATTAAAAGAGAAGCAAGCAGAAGCAACTTTCTCCCTGTCTTTCACTATTGTTTACCATGGACCATCTAAAACTATCTTGCATATCACAGGAATTCAGTGTCAGGAGGAACTCTCCATCAAGAAACCTAGCCCTCACTGAATTCGTCATCTCTTTTCTCCCCACAGGGTTCCTAGCATCATGAGGGCCTGGATCTTCTTTCTCCTTTGCCTGGCCGGGAGGGCCTTGGCAGCCCCTGTGAGTACCTGAAAGTCACATCTTCTTGGTCTTACTTCCCACCGCCAGCTCAGGGGCATTGAATCTACCGGCCCTGGGTGTTCAGAGGGTACAAGCACTTTCCCATCTTGAGTGGTCTTTTTTTTTTTCCCCTTAAACTAACAAGCTCAAAATAAAAACTGAATGAGGATCATTGGGAGGAGATTCCAGGGAAGAGAGATTTCCATGTAATGTGAAGATGTACTTGTTCAGCAATCAGAGCTTCCCCAGAAAGGGACTAGGATTGTTTTAGAAGGAAGTGAGCTCCTTGTCATATGAAGACTTACAGAAGAGAAGGGGATGCTGATGGGGTGTGATGGTAGGAGAAGCCCCAGCCAGCCAGGCACCTCAAAGTCATGTGCTATCTTGCTTCTTCTAACTCCAAGTTGACTCCAAGAAGGAATTGCCAAATAATGATGATGATGATGATAGTATCACACCTGTGGGGAAGATACTGACATCTGTTAAAATTCAGGGTTCATCCCCTATAGGTCTCCGTTTTCCCATCTGAAGGGAGTTGGTCTGCATCAGACCAGTTGGTCTCCCATCATTATGGGAGTCTAAGCGGCAGAAATGCTTTTGGAGTTTTGATAGGCACTCCAGATGTAACTATACAAAGGGAGGTGCTCCTGCAGCCCACAGGGCCTGCATGTTTGGCTTCTCCTGTGCCCGAGTTGCCCACACATGGCAGGCGTCTCCCACAAGTTTCTCTCCTAGCTCCCCAGCTTCAGTGGTCCAGGCTAAGGCATGTTAGTGGTGGGAAGCTGGCCTGGGCCCCAACCTCTCTGAACACCATTTTCACCTCCCAGCAGCAACAGGAAGCCTTGCCTGATGAGACAGAGGTGGTGGAAGAAACCGTGGCCGAGGTGGCCGAGGTAGGTGGTGGGGGCCCCAGACTCCTCTCTGCCAACATACACTCCCCTTGGGGATTCCAAACAGGGGCTGCCAGAACAGGCCATTGTTCCCCTTCCCACGTGCACACACAGCATAGATGTAAATCCTGTGGATCCCCCAATGATGACATACTCCCGAGTGCTCCCCAAACTCTCCCTGGAACCTCATAGGTGGGAGCTATGATTCTGAATTTGTTTTTTACTTTTTAAACTGTGTGACATTTTTTCTCAGATGGTCACCCACAGTCTCCCCAAATGTAAACTGATGAAAAGGAAAGTACCCTGGTGTGGCTGAAAGGGGAGGGAGCTTGGCACTCGCCCTTGCCCTGACACCCCTGCTGGCCTCTAGGGCATCTCCATAGCGTTCTGGGCCCTTGAGGAAGAGCGGGTCCATAGATTCAGTCTCGATCCTGGACCTGGCATTTGTGCCTCCTGGGATCTGAACCCAGCACCCATTCCAGCATGTTTCTCCCCATCCCCTGTGGGTACCCAAAGCTTTGGGCAAGTCCCCTCTAGCCTTTGCCCCTTTCCTCCAGGTCTGGGGGTGGGATGGGACGTTTGACTCACTCTTCTCCTTCCACCCCAGGTACCCGTGGGAGCCAACCCTGTCCAGGTGGAAGTAGGAGAATTCGATGAGGGTGCCGAGGAAACCGAGGAAGAGGTGGTGGCTGAGAGTATGTCCCTTCTCCTTGTCTTGTTACACAGGCCTTAGCCCTCTGCCACCCAGGCCTGGGGTGTGGGCCCAGCGTGTGTGAGTTTCCTTCCCAAGGAAACGCAGGGTGGGGGGGTCCTCCCTGGGGGAGGGGCTGTGAAGGACAAACTGCCTTGACTGAAAGGTTGGGAGTGTTTTCTGGAATTTGGAAAGATCTATTTATAGCCAGGCTGTGAGTGCTAGGAAGGGAAGTCTTAAGCTGGAAGTGGCCTTTCCCCTTGCAGCACTTTAATCTAGTTCCAGAGTTGGGTTTCAGGTTCCCACTGAGATCCCCAGTCCCGTCCAGTCACTTGATGGCCCCAGACGCTTTCACACTTATAAGCTTATTTAATTATCAAATAGCCATGAGGAAATAAGGTCCGGAAGCCTGACACAACTCCTATACGGCTTGTGAGAACCAGGACCTAGGGCTTCTGTCCCCACCCACAGTCCAGCATCCCTAACCCGCAGGATGGAGACTCACTGTACCCCAGGGGCTAACAGCCCGGACTCTGGGGGTGGACCAACCAAGGTCTGCCTCCAAACTTTCTGCGATGCCCTCTGACAGCCCTCGAACCTTCTCTGAGCCCAGCTTGCTCATGTCTTGCGTGGGGAAGGGTGAAGACAGTAGACCCCCACCCCAGGGTTGTCAAGGGGCTATGAGATAAAAGTAGAGGCACCCTTGCCCAGGATCTGGCAGGGCAGGCATCCAACAAAGGAAGACTGGGACACCCCAGTCAAGCACCCGGAGGAAAGGCTAGATGAGCTCTCACCCTCAGAGCCTAAGTATCCACTGGAGCAAAGGGGCGTCTACTGAGTCCTCTTCCTTCCCCTCCATGTCCCTTATCTGGTGTTTACGAGACACAGGCAGACTCTATTGTTCAGTGTGGTCCTGGGGCTCTGATCCCTTTTCCGCTGCAGACACTCAGGTGTGTTTTGCTGGGCTGCACAGCTCCCTGGCTCCGTGACAACAGCTGACTTTCCGAGTCATTCTAGAAAGTCTATTCTAGAATTGTGAAATACTTTGCTGTCACTGATCCATGAACAGCCAAGAACACAGTGGTTGCTTCAACCCTCGGGGGAGCCATATGGCATCCAGTGCTCCCTGGTCCCAGACTGAATCCCCAGCCCCCGCAGGAGTGCCTGGCCCTGACCTCAGACCAAATCTCTAGTTCCCCAGACTGAGCCAACTGCTCCCCGACAAGCTGATTTCAGCAGAACAGAAGGGAGGGCACAGGGCTGCCTGAAGGTCGAGTGGTGGCCAGACCCGAGGACTTCTGTCCAAGGAGCCGTGTGGGTTGGGTTGGGATGGATGTGCTAGCCTGGGTGAGGCTAATCACGTTGCCCTTGTGCTCTGCCAGACCCCTGCCAGAACCACCACTGCAAACACGGCAAGGTGTGTGAACTGGACGAGAACAACACCCCCATGTGCGTGTGCCAGGACCCCACCAGCTGCCCTGCCCCCATCGGCGAGTTTGAGAAGGTGAGGCCCGAGGGACAAGGCTGGGGGTGAGGGCTGCAGCCCTCAGAGTGTCTGCCCAGAACACTGCCGGCCTGGGGGTCCCACAGGGCAGCTCCAGGCTCAGAAGTCCCCTCGCTAGGTCTAGTCACAGCAAGAGACCCAGTCAGAGGGGGTCTCTGTCTGGGACTCTCCAGCAGTCACTGGAGAGTGACTGTCATTGGACTCTCCAGCAACTGGCAAGAATTTACTCAGCACCACCAGCTTCCAGCCCTACTGAGACTCAGAAGGGAATACACATGAGGGACTTTCTTACGTGGGAGAATCTTGGCAAAGCATCAGATCCAAACACGTGGGTTCTGGGTCACAGCAAAGGATAACATCAACCTTTACTTCTACCTCTTGATAGTGTGAGATCTTAGCTATGTTCCTGATCCTCTCCAAGTTTTCTCACCTCTAAAGATGGAACAGAAATAGACTTTATCTCATAAAGCTATTGCAGGGGTTTGTCAGATAATGCCTGGTACTTAGTAAATACTCAACATGTACTATTTAAAAAAAACTTTCAAAGCTGTCCATTCAGTCTCCAATAGGACTCATCTGTCCATCCATCCATCCATCCAAGTAAATATTTATTGAGCACTCATGCATATCAACCATTGTGCTAGTGGTCACCTAACTCAGGGCCACATATTGAGTTCCAGCATCATTCCCACAACCTCCACCTCACCTTCAACCTCTCCCCAGTACAACATACCCTTTGAGGTCCAAATTTTAGCATCTTCGTCAGCTCTTCCCTCCTCCTCACCCCATCACCCCCTATTACACTGGTCACCAGTGCCCACCAGTTCTCCCTCTGCAGTGATATGTATGCAGTATGTGCAGGGTTTTCAAGACAAGGCTTCTCTCCTCCTGACACAACTACTTACTGCACTGCCCTTGTTCAGCCCATAGCAACTCTGCTCTGCCATCCTCATGTGCAGAGATTCGCAAGAAGGACCAATATAACTCACCACATATTTGCACTCACTGCTAATAGTTAAGGATACATAGCTGGCTGAAAAGGGAATTGGATACCAGCTGCATGTGGAGGGATCCATGCATAGTCTTGCTTATTCTCCCCCTGCCATGAAGGATTTCTTTCCCCAGCTACAAAGATGAGCTGCAACCTCATGCAAGCAAGGCTTCTGCCCAACGAAGCCCATTACAGACTCAGCACCCAGTGTTTAGTTGAAGCCTGGCCACATAGGCATCCCATGCCTAGCATATACCCAAATTCCAGACTCCAAGCAGGAAAAGAGATGTTCAGCATGAACCATACTGTTTGTATGAGCAACCTAGGCAAATTGAGACACTTGCATCATTTGTAGACATCAGTTTTCTAACAGTGCAAGCAACTGTTCACCAGCCTCGCTCCCAGACACCAGCCAAGGGCCAACATCACAAGAAGGCCTTTCTAAGAACAACACTCCCAGGCCTGTTGTATTAACTCTTTTCGGCATACTCTATCTTTCCCTCATCCTCGCCTTCAATTCATCTTTTCTGTATTTCCCAGATTTGCTTTCCTATATCTCAGCCCTGACTCCATCGTTCCGCTGCTCAGGGACCAGCAGCGCCTCTCAGCTTGGGCTGAACATTGACTTAGGAGCCTAAAGAGTGGCTCCTTGCCTGGGCCCCACCCTTAACTCACTGTGTGGACCCCGGGCTAACCATGTTCCTTGCCTGGCCCTCAGTGTTCCCATCTCTGAAATGGGCACAGACGGCGGTACTGGCGCAGGGCTTTGGGAATGAGGGTGAGGCACTCTATGCTTTGCCGACAGGTGTGCAGCAATGACAACAAGACCTTCGACTCTTCCTGCCACTTCTTTGCCACCAAGTGCACGCTGGAGGGCACCAAGAAGGGCCACAAACTCCACCTGGACTACATCGGACCTTGCAAATGTGAGTNAGAGTCTTAACCCCCGGACCACCTGGGGGGGGGTCCCCCTTCCCTCATTCTAAACCCAGACTTGGGCTGGTCTTGCCTGCTCTGGCCTCCTGTCGGGGGAAGGGACCTTGACTGGCCCCGACAGCCTCCCTGGACCCTTCGTCACACAGCGTCTCTGCTCCCACAGGTGAAGAAGATCCACGAGAACGAGAAGCGCCTGGAGGCTGGCGACCACCCCGTGGAGCTGCTGGCCCGGGACTTCGAGAAGAACTACAACATGTACATCTTCCCCGTGCACTGGCAGTTTGGGCAACTGGATCAGCACCCCATTGACGGGTACCTGTCTCACACCGAGCTGGCCCCACTGCGCGCCCCCCTTATCCCCATGGAACACTGCACCACCCGCTTTTTCAAGACCTGTGACCTGGACAACGACAAGTACATTGCCCTGGATGAGTGGGCCGGCTGCTTCGGCATCAAGGAGAAGGACATCGACAAGGACCTCGTGATCTAAAGCCACGCCTCCTCCTGCAGAACCAGATTCTCTCTCTTTGACCTTCCCCCTCCTGTTTTCCCCAATGTTTAAAATGTTTGGATGGTTTGTTGTTCTGCCTGGGGTCAAGGTGCTAATATAGACTTAAACGAATACATTAACGGTGCTAAACATAGACATTTTAACCCAAGTCACGACATTCTTAGCTGTAACTCAGCTATCACGGCCTCTTGCTCACCCACTAATGGTCCCATTTTCCTCTTGCCGTGTGCACCTCTGCCCATTGTCTTGGTGGCACATGGGTGGAACACTTGATCTGCTTGAGTCTGCCTTCAACACACGTTGCATCTTCAGATTTTCTACTTTTCTGCTTGAAACTAATATTCACCGAGTCAGATTTTGTGTTAACTTTATTTCAGGGTATTGGCTGCCAGGGGGTCATTCCTAAGTGGCCTGAAGATGGACAAAGGGAAGTAACAGGCACGTGATGTTGGCAAGGATGCTTCTAGGGCTAGAGGATCAGTGGTGGGAGAGACCTGCAGAATCTACCAGCCAGAACCGCAGATAACAAATCTTGTGGTCAGGGNTGGTCACGCTGTATGAGAGGGACGAGGACAACAACCTCCTGACCGAGAAGCAGAAGCTGCGAGTAAGGGCCGTTTCTCCTTCTGTCTCGGGGCACTTGCTCGGCCCTGAGCTGGCCCTGACCTCGGGTCCCAGGCTGGCTGAGATCCACAGTCCCATTCCCAGATCTAGGCCCCCAAATGTAAGCCCGCATCCCTGCTCCAACGAGCGCCTCTGTCTCGGGCTCGAGGACACAGACTCCTCCGTGCAGCCTTTGAAGGCTCCTAGAGCACATTCACGGAGAAGGCAATGGCACCCCACTCCAGTACTCCTGCCTGGAGAATCCCACGGATGGAGGAGCCTGGTGGGCTGCAGTCCATGGGGTCGCGGAGAGTCGGACACAACTGAAGCGACTTGGCAGCAGCAGCACATTCAGGGTCTTCCCAGGCGGCGCTAGTGCCAAAGAACCCACCTGCCAATGCAGGAGACATGAGAGACATGGGCTCAATCCCTGGGTTGGGAAGATCCCCTGGAGGAGGGCATGGCAACCCACTCCAGTATTCCTGCCTGGAGAGTCCCACGGACAGAGGAGCCTGGCAAGTTACAGTCCATGGGGTCGAAAAGAGCTGGACATGACTGAAGTGACTTAGCATGCAGGCAGAGCACATTCACCTCTTAAAGGCTCTGAGGAGTCCTGTAATGAAAGGACCTGCTAACTTTGTTTAGCTCCATGTTAAGTACGGGGCATAAACAATTCTATTCCTCTTTCCTTCTGAGTCTGTGGACTTTAAGGGACATATCAAGCACTAGGAGTACTGATAAAATACAGCTCCCTGGGCTGTGAAGTGTTTCTGTGAAACAAGGCCCAGGAAGCTGCATTTTGACACACTCCCCAGTTATTCTGATTGAGATGGCCCCAGACCTCCACTTCTGTGGATGAGATAAAGCTGGTACTCATCTAACCACTTCCTTCCCTCATTTGTCTCTACACCCCACCCCTGCCCCCCACCCCGCCCTGCCACACTGCTCAGCATGTGGGATCTTAGGTTCCCAACAGGATTCAAACCTGTGCCCCCTGCAATGGAAGCACAGAGTCTTAACCCCCGGACCACCTGGGGGGGGGTCCCCCTTCCCTCATTCTAAACCCAGACTTGGGCTGGTCTTGCCTGCTCTGGCCTCCTGTCGGGGGAAGGGACCTTGACTGGCCCCGACAGCCTCCCTGGACCCTTCGTCACACAGCGTCTCTGCTCCCACAGGTGAAGAAGATCCACGAGAACGAGAAGCGCCTGGAGGCTGGCGACCACCCCGTGGAGCTGCTGGCCCGGGACTTCGAGAAGAACTACAACATGTACATCTTCCCCGTGCACTGGCAGTTTGGGCAGCTGGATCAGCACCCCATTGACGGGTAAGACCCCTGACCCTCAGGATCACAGAGGGGAGCTGCCTCTGGCTTGGCCCTGGAGTGGACAGTCACCAGTCAGGGCTGCTAGGTGCACTAGATGTGGTCAGAAAACTCCTCAGGGGTCTCTGCTGCTCCCAGCCCTGGAGGCCCATAGTTTGCCTAAGGGTTGAGGCAGGAGAGGATAGGTGTAGGAGAAAGGATATAGAAGATTTAGTGCCATGAGTCACTCCCTCCTTACTGCCCTAAGAGGCAGAAGCCATCAGAACTGAAAACCCCTCCTCAACCCCGTGAGTGCCAGCCTTGGGTATCCATTCAGCAAGGTAGAAGGAGCTGGGAAGGAGTGCCAGACTCTGTGGGGTCATAGGGTCTGTGTGAGGCAGCAAGGCCCTGAGACCTGGACCCAATGGGGCAAACTGGCTCTGGAAGTTCTTAAGACATTCACAGGGCCCATCCCATCTCCATGGCAAGCCCTTGGTTTGATCACTCCTGCCCCAAGTGTTGAAATGAGTTAGGAAGTGCCGTGTAAACGCCCTGTGGGATAAGCCGAGATGGTCAGTAAACCAACATTTATTGAGTGTCTATTACATGTCCAGCATGATTCCAGGCAGGGGATTTAACTGTAGTCAGAACTGACACAGAGGCCCTTGACCCCATGGAGCTCACCCTCTAGGTGGTGATCTGTTTCTCACAATGGAAGGAAAAAGTAAGGAAGGTGCCCGGAAGTTGCAGGTGGTGGCTGATGCTTCTGCAGCTGAGCAGGACAGGCCCCCCTCACCTCCGCCTTCTCTTGCTGTGTGCTCCTGGAGCAGCTCAAGAGGAGGGCTGCTCTGCTCACACAGGATGCCCAGGGCTGGTCCCCTCTGGGAGGCTCAACCCTTCCTCCCGGTCCAGTCCACCCTGTGGGTGATCCTGGGGGGCTGGAGTCTCCTGAGTGCTGGGAAACCGCCTGTAGCTTCTCTCCCAGGCTCTTACTGTGGCTGGGATCCATCTGAGTCATACCGTGAAGGGGAGGGGAGAAGTCAGGGAACATCTGGACTCAGGCTGAGCAAGGAAGGGGCCTGGAGGGAAGCTTCCAGATGGGGCTGCAAGGACCCTGCATCTGGGAAAGCAGGCTGGGTCAGAGGATCGTCCTGCCCCTCTCCTTGACCCAGAGCTGCCCGGTGACCTTGCCTGAGTCCCTGCCCCTCTCTGGGGCTCGCTTTCCTCACTGATATACAAAGAAGGCGGAGAAGCTTCAGTTCAACCGATCCCTTCCATGAGTTGGGCCAGATAGGAGGGCCTGGGGGTCCTTGGGGAAGAGTGTTTTGAGGACAACTAATGGAGGGCTCTGGGGAACAAGGAAAAAAAAATCCTATATGTGCTCTGGAGTCCAGGCCAGCTGGGAGGACAGGAACAGAGGCGATTGGGAGAGAAATCAGAAGGTCTCCCTCTCACACAGGACACAGTACATAAAAGATAAAGTTCTACTCACCCTCCGCCTGCCAATTCCAATCTCTTCCCACGCTCCCTCCCCAGAAGTCAGCACTCTCTTCCTTTTTTTTTTTTTTTCCAGCCACACATCTTATGGGATCATAGTTTCCTGACCAGGGATCAAACCGGGCCCTTAGCAGTCAAAGTGAAGAGCCTTAACCACTGGACTGCCAGGGAAACCCCAACCCTCCTCCCCAACTTTTGCAGTACTCTATTCAGTTTGATGCATCTCTTTTTCACCTCTTTTCTGAGTATTTGCAGATGTATAAATGTGTCTGCAGAAAACATGCATTGTTGTTTCATACCATATTTTGAGCTACCAATAGCAAAAATGTTGAATATTTTAAGCTTCTGTGCCCTCAATTCTTAGTCAATCAGGAAACAATGAAATGCACCAAGAGACGGTGTTATGAACCCACAGACCTCAGACCTGGAAGGGCCCTTAGACGTTATGATCAACTCCTCCCCCTTTGATGGAGGAGGAAACTGAGGCTCAGAGTGGGGCAGTGCTGTATGCTCAGAACCACAGCAGGTCAGTGGCAGAGCCGGGGCAGACCCAGGATCCTGGCTTCCGGTTCTGCAGTGAACATCCTCTCCTTCAGCCCCAAGGGGCAGGCTCCCTCCCTCTGTCTGCCCAAGCAGGGCTATGGGGCTGGCTCAGCCTCAGCCTCTCCCCACCTCACCCCTGCAGGTACCTGTCTCACACCGAGCTGGCCCCACTGCGCGCCCCCCTTATTCCCATGGAACACTGCACCACCCGCTTTTTCGAGACCTGTGACCTGGACAACGACAAGTACATTGCCCTGGATGAGTGGGCCGGCTGCTTCGGCATCAAGGAGAGTGAGTATTTGAGCAAAGGGTCCACTGTCCTCTCCCTCCCACCTTGCTGCTCTCTGTATGTCTGTCCTTCCTGTCCATCTCTGCTCTGTGCCTGGTTAACTCCTGTCTGCTCTCCCTGCCTGGGTGGGCCTCGCTCTTTTAGGTGACTTCCTGGTCCTTCTCTATCCACCCGACTGTCTGTTTCTCCCTTTTGAAGCATCAGTACTCACTCTGTGTCTAGCACTGCTTTGGGAACTGACAGTCATCTACAGGAAACAGCACATGTAATTAGGCAGCGCAAGTCACGAGGACCGGCCAGGGATCAGGGAGGCCAAAGTTCTCAGTCATAGACTCCCTGGGTGACCTTGGACTGGTTACCTGGCCCCCGGTCCCCGGGATGGGTGGGATCTGCCAACTTCTTGGGAAACATTTCCTCATTGACCCCAGCCCCCAAGTCTAATTCTGCTCCTTCTTGCCTTGCAGAGGATATCGACAAGGACCTCGTGATCTAAAGCCACGCCTCCTCCTGCAGAACCAGATTCTCTCTCTTTGACCTTCCCCCTCCTGTTTTCCCCAATGTTTAAAATGTTTGGATGGTTTGTTGTTCTGCCTGGGGTCAAGGTGCTAATATAGACTTAAACGAATACATTAACGGTGCTAAACATAGACATTTTAACCCAAGTCACGACATTCTTAGCTGTAACTCAGCTATCACGGCCTCTTGCTCACCCACTAATGGTCCCATTTTCCTCTTGCCGTGTGCACCTCTGCCCATTGTCTTGGTGGCACATGGGTGGAACACTTGATCTGCTTGAGTCTGCCTTCAACACACGTTGCATCTTCAGATTTTCTACTTTTCTGCTTGAAACTAATATTCACCGAGTCAGACTTTGTATTAACTTTATTTCAGGGTATTGGCTGCCAGGGGGTCATTCCTAAGTGGCCTGAAGATGGACAAAGGGAAGTAACAGGCACGTGATGTTGGCAAGGATGCTTCTAGGGCTAGAGGATCAGTGGTGGGAGAGACCTGCAGAATCTACCAGCCAGAACCACAGATAACAAATCTTGTGCTCAGGGACTGTGAATGAGAGAAGGAAATTGAGGCTGTGCTCTGGAAGTACATAAACTCTCACACAAACCCAGTTCTTCACCATTTCCCCTTCTCACTTTGCAGTGCCATTTCTTTTTGCATTAGGCAATTTACTCAGACTTTTCAGAGCCATGGCCCCTCCGTTCTCTGGAATCTCCCACACCTCTGAGAGGTGGATCACCACATCCTGCAGGGCTGCTCCCCTCCAAACTACCTTTAGGAGATGCAGGACAGGGAGGCTGTTTCAGCCAGAAAGACCAAAATCAAGAGCGAGGTGCAGAACGTGGTAAAACAGAAAAAGGGCAGGTGGCAAATTGGTTTTCTTTTGGGTTTTCTGTTTTCTTTTTTCACATCTGGATGGCTGTCACCAGAGATCTTTCCTTCAGTCACTAGCATGTTCCTCCTCTTCTCTCCTCCCCACTTTTTCTTTCTATTAATCAAAAGAAATTTCAAAATCAATGGGATGGTCGGATCTCACAGGCTGAGAACTCGTTCACCTCCAAGCATTTCATGAAAAAGCTGCTTCTTATTAATCATGCAAACTCTTGCCACGATGTGAAGAGTTTGACAAATCTTTCAAAATAAAAAGTACTGATTTAGAAACTGCCTCCCTGGGTGACTTTCACGTGTCTTAGTGACCTCATTTCCCTGACATAGAGATATGTGGTCATAACATGTCCACACATGAATGCACAGATGCAAAGCTTTGCAAATGCATTATTACCCTTTTGTACACACAAGCTTACTTATACACAGGGAATGTATGGTGCCTATAAGCATGGATTTAGCTTTTAATTTTATGACCTGGGGAGTGACCTTTTTCATGATTGCACTTCATTATCAGAGCACCAGGCTAAGCAACTAAGGAAAGCACCAATGAAAGCAATGCCTTCACTAAGCATTCACTCATTCATTCACCCATCCATCAAGAAATGTTTATGATATACTTACTATCGACTGATCCCATTCCAGGTACTACAGACACAGCTGTGGCAAAGCAGATAAAGCGCTTGTTCTTCTGAAACTTACAGCCTAACAAGGAATGGGTTTTTTAAATGCCCAACTAAATACAAATGACAATATGTGATAGGTGCACTGAAGGGCTCCCCTGATGGTTCAGACAGTAAAGAATCCAGCTGCATTGCGGGACACACAGGTTTGATTCCTGGGCTGGGAAGATCCCCTGGAGAAGGGAATACCCACTCCAGTATTCTTGCCTGGAGAATTCCATGGACAGAGGAGCCTGGTGGACTACAGTCTGTGGGGTCACAAAGAGTTGGGTTGAGTGACTAACACTTTTCACACTGAAGGGAGAATAGAAGAAACCAGCAGTGTATGTCACAGAAGGAATCAGGATTACTCTTGTTCCACAGTAATCACTCCCCATGCCTGGCTATTTAGATTTAAATTTAACTTAAAATTTAAAATTCAGTCCCTCAGTCACTCCAGAAACTTTTCAAATGCTCAACAGCAAAATGTGGTTAGCGGTTACCCTACTGAACCGAGCAGACCCAGAACATTTTCATCATCACAGAGCGTTCTATTGCACCAGGCTGTCCTAGGGCTTCCTTGAAAAAACCTGAGTCACAAAGGAAAAGAATGAAGTGTTGGGAGGGGCAGAGGTGAGAGAGGAGAAGGGTCGGGGAAAGGGCATTCCAGGCCGGGGAACAGTACAGGCAAAGGTCGTGAGTGGGTGGGGAACATGATGAGTCCCCCAGCATGGTCTGTGTCCAGGCTGAGGGCTGTCTTGTACTGGATGAAGCTGAACAGGTGGGCAGAGGCCAGACCATGCAGTCTGGTAGGCCATGTGAGGAGTTTGGGTTTTATTTTTTTGTTTGCAGTGGAAGTTATCGGCGGGTTTTAAATCAGAGAAACAGAGACAAGATTAGACTGGCTTTAAAAAGAACACTCTGGCTCTGGAAGGGCCCACGGTTAAGTCCACTGAGCGTTTTTCCAGGTTCATGCATGCCCATCACACTGGTGTGCTATTTTAGGCTGGTGTTCTGAGGCTCCCCTTTGAGATAGAGAAATAGCTCCAGGAAGTGTGCTCTGTTGCTGTGGACCACACACAGAGTGAGGTCTTCAGATGCCAAGTCTAGAGTTGGTTTATTCCTCTCTTATTTTACATTATTTTCAACTACTAATGATACAAAGTCATTAAAAAAATCATAAAACTCATAAACTTGTATTACTGTGTTTCTTGTTCACACAATGGGAGGCAAGGACTGGGAAGTTTGATCCTGGCCATTTGAGGAAGGCAAGTCCAGCCTAGTGTCATCATCTAGAGGAATCCAGGCAGAGACTGACAGGGTACGTTTTGGAACTGGCTCATTCCTTCACTCTATGACGTTTACCAGCTGCCCGCAGCAGTGTTTTATGTTCTCCCGAGTAAGCGCAGGCATGGTCTCTGCTGCCCTGGAGCCTTCATTCTGGCTAGGCAGACCATGCACAAGTCAGACCATCTGAGGCAGAAACTTGTGATGCAAAGGCCGTGAGTCGTTCCTTCGGGTAGGGAGGGAGCTGCGACATTTCCCTGAGACTGTAGGACGAAGTCCTTGTGCCTTGGTCAACCACCTGTATAATACACAGCGCTCACTCTCAGAACAGCTCTGCTCCCCATACTCGCAGACTATATCTAGAATTCTCCCTCTAGGGAGTTTTGCCAAGTTTTCAAGGGAAAGGCAGCCTCAAAGAGAGGCAAAGAGCATGAATCAGCCTGGAACGCTGGGAGGACAAGGTGGGGTTGCAGCAACACTGAGGAGCTGAGTTGAAGGGGGCCCTCAGAATCCTTACAGGCAATGTTTTCATGCTCTTCTTCTATCAGTGGCTTCGCTCCCTGTAAGTCAAATCTCTTAAAGAAAAAAAAAAATTAACATTTAAAGGAAATTAATTATCTCATTACCCTGAGAGAAAAATCAGCATCATTTACTATTGGCATAAATAAACTTAAAAAAAAAAAACAGAAAAAAAAATACAGTGGAAAAAAATGTAATGCAATTACAAATGTTCCCTGTTCCTGAAGAATGCTGTTTATTGTCCAGAGAAGAAAAGACTTTCTCTTTGATAATCAAATGATCCAGAAGAGAACTGAATTACACTTAATTCAATGCCAAATGGGTAAGTCTCCTAAAATAATATCCAGTCCTGAAGTGGTGGCTATTTCTCCCTTTGAGCAATTCCTCTTTTTCTTGAAGGGGGTGGGGGTCCTTCAGAGATCTTCTAGGTCTTCTCTCCCAACAGCTACAGAACTGGTTTGAGCCCCATTTAGCCCAGTGACCAAACACAGCTTCTTTCCTCGTCTGTAAAATCCTGATGATAACAGCCCCTGCCTCACAGGTCACTGTATCTGGCAGAGAGGAAGATGATGTTGATGACAACATTCCCGACTTAAATGAGAGGGGCCTGCACTTTCCCCACTGGCTAGATGAGTCCTTTATCCCTGGTGCTCTCTCCTGCAAAGTTTCAAGACCACATCCTTGTGAGGGTGTTACATGCTCAGGAATGTCACAGTGGTTAGGCTGTGCTGGGCGGCCTGGTGTCTACACTGGTTTTGGTTTTAGAACTGCAAGGGTTAAAACATGTCCAGCCGGAAACAGAAATAAGGGAACCCTCATGAGATAAAGGGGCCCTGGAGAGGGAGTTAAAGCCTAGTTCCCAGGACAGTGGTCTTTGCCTGGACTAGAGCTTTCCCCTCAGGGGTCCAGCCTCCCCTTCTAAAGTATGGTAGAGGGGGAGCTGGATAAGATGGTCCCATCTTCGGAAACTCTATGAGATCTCCCCGTCTCTCCTTCTGAACCAGCGGTCCTCGGGATTAGTAAAGACCTGGGGCCATCGAAGCCTCACAACCCAGTTTCCAGATGGCCCCCCAGAGCCAGACGGACCCAGCAGTCGGCTCCCTGAATGTAATCCCCGAACCCTCTGAGGAGAGCCAGGGCGCCCTCTGGTGGAGCCGGGGAGAAGGGCTCCCAGAACTGTGGGATGCCTCTGAACTGACTGCTACAGCATCCAAGCCGTAAGAACCTACAGAAGTCATCCAGCCGAGGCCCCTCATCTTCCAAACGTGGAAACTGAGGTTTGCAGGAGCAGAAGATGCCGCCTAAGGCAAGATTGCCAGGTAAAACACAGGACTTCCAGTTAAACTTGAATTTTATATAAACGATTTTTTTTTTTTTTAGTGTATGTTCCATGGAATGTTTAGAACACACTTCTATTAGAAAATTATTCATTACATACGTAAAACTTTGCTAAATCTGGTGACTCAACCTCCAGTCCACTCACTGAGTTAATGTCTGAGCTGAGAATGCAGCCCACACATGGGTCAGGGCTCTTGCAAGCAGCTCTGCCCAGCACTCAGAGGCATATGAAATGCTTGCTGACATTCTTCTGGAGGAAAGCAAGTGTAAGGATATCAGAATCCGACTTAGATGATGCCAGGAATGTTTCAAACAGAACAAGGGACACGGGTCTTCCCCACTCCATCTCTCCTCTTCCCCCAGCCCCCCGTAACCATCCAAAATCCACCTTTTCGAGGTTTTGGTCATAGAGTTTGCTGACATCCCTGCCCCACTCTGATTTACAAGGGAGGAGCCTAGGATCTGTATTTTTGAAAGTTCCCCAGGTGCTGTGCCTCTGATGCATAGCAAAGATTAAAACCTTCGGAGGTGGCTGTAAGGAAGAACAGACAACTGCTTGACGGAGCAGATTTTAACCAGGATATGTCAGTGATTGTCAAACTTCACTGTGCATAGGAATCATGGTGGATGAGGTAGGAAGAGGGAGAACAGATTGTTAAGAATGCACAGCTTGCTTTCCAGAGATTCTGAATGAGTAGACCCAGGCGAGGGCCTTGGAATCTGCACTTCTGACAAGCACTCGGGCTTCATCTGTATTTATGATGTGTTTTGTTTCTTAAGAAACAAAAACAGAACTGAAGCAAGCATGGACGAATGGTAAAGTTTCTAAAAGCAGTTGATGAGCATAGAAATATACATTATTCCACTTGCTAAAACTTAAATATTTCACTAAAAACACTTTCAAAACTTAGAAACATTTTAGGAGAACTGTGATGCAAGTGGTCTGAAGACCATACCTTGAGAAACACTGGCTTAGGAGGCAAGAGAGTGAACAGAGCTTCCTGCTTCAACACATACTGGGTGCCAATCACCCCGTCCCCACCCTGCCCATGTCTAAAAGCTGGGAGAGTCAAGGAAGCTTCTGGGAGGAGACGGACAGAGGCTGGTCTTGAAAGGTGGATAAGACTCAGAGGAGTGTTAATAGAAGGAAGTATTATGGGCAGGAAGCAAGCAATCTGATCAGATGAGAAAGTAAGTGTCAGGAGACAGGACTGTGTCTTGTTTACAGATGGTGTCTAATAAATGATCCCTCTAGCCATGCCCTCCTTCACAGATCATTGCCTTGTCATACTGAAGGGGTTTGTATAACTCAATGAAGCTATGACCTGTGCTAGGTAGGGCCACCCAAAATGGACCGGTCATAGTGGAGAGTTCTGACAAAACGTGATCCACTGAAGGAGGGAATGGCCAACCACCCCCAGTATACTTGCCATGACAACCTCTGAATTCTGTCAAGAGAATGCATGGCCAATATG